AAAAGTATTCAGGGCATGACGTCTGCTCTGACAGTATTGGATGGAACTGATACTAATATCAGTACTATTTTAAACCAAAATCAATACCGGTAACATACTAACTATCGACTTTTTCTGACTTCAACCAGTAAAGCTGGAGTTAATATTTTACTATAGGTCTAATTTGAAAGACTGGTAGTTGTGGAGTATTTTTTTTTTAATCCGATCACTTTTTTTTTTATGTGATTGAATGAAGTCATTTTCTGAGTTAAGTTTCTATTTGAATTATGATTTTCACTTTATTCAGCCTACAAGGGTGTCCCAAAACCCAACACAAAGACTGTTGCTGCTGAATGTGCAACCTTTGATGAAATTGATATCCTTCTGATAATGAAGTTAAGCACAATACATAATCTAATGATTCAAAATAATTCACCTATGTACTAAGGATCCCATCTGCAATACAAAACCCCAAATAACAAAAAAGAGTTTGACAATGCCTTATTGGTAAAGTAAACTTAAGCCAAACTGAAATCCAAAATAAGAGTTTGACAATGCCTTATTGTTGGTAAAGCCAAACTGAAATCCAAAATAAGAGTTTGGCAATGCCTTACTATGCCAAAATTCAAATCTTTTATTGTAAATGAGGACATTTGTCATACTTTTGATCAATTTCAAGTGTCTGTCTTTGTTGCATTTTCTTTTTTACACAGTTATACTGACTGGACTATAATTAAAAATTGATTATACAAGAATCAAATTTCAGAAAACAAAAAATGGTGAGTTAATGTATGAGTGTCTCTATCTCTTTCTTTGAAGAGCTCGACTAATTAATTAGCCTTATTTTTATCATGTTATTTAAGACATCATTACTAAAGTCTTTGACATTTATTAGCACAATCAATTAGTGAAACAAAAAAACTAAATTGAGATCTGAGCACTTAGATCTGTCTGGCTGCTTATTCTATAATGATAGTACATCAGGCTAAAAAAACCAGAGAAAAATGTCATTGCCCAAGTCTCTAATAGAATATGTATGGAAATATCTGCTGAAAAAAGTCTCATAAATATCATACACAGCCCCAAGGTGTCTGGATTATCTAATATTATTTATAAATCGCCCGCGGTGCTCTACTTATACGCTTATTTTTTCTAACTCATGTCTTCTGCTACCAGTTTGAACTAATTGCGTTGGCCAATAGAAGATAATTAACACAGCTGTTTTTCCTATAGCAAAAGTCTGGCACTGCGCCAGAATCTATAGCCGTAGGTCAATATGACATGGTCAAGGAGAAATGTCAGTGGTACATTTAATACAATAGTAGTTGATTCTATTTCCTCTTATCATGTATAGTTTGAATGGAGCTAACTTTCCTCAATTAACAACAGAAAAAAAGTCTGATGAAAAGTGTTGTATTATTCACACTTGAATTGTAAAGTTGAAAGGTCATATGATTTTAAGTGTATATCTGCTGCTAGGCAGGCGGCATGTATCGGTGACCGGTGGTTGACACTCGACTCTACCTACTACTTACTTACATACACTATCAATACATTTATCAATAACATCAGATCTACTTGTTTCGTAGAATTCACTAACCATTGTCCAAGGACATTATGCAGGTGGTCAGTCTGTCATGCATTGAGCTAACCTTGGTTTTTATCCCCTTGTCAATGATACAGGTTGGAGGGGATGATAAGCAAAAGCATCTAGTGGTTTAAAAGTTACTATACACCCTTGTGGCACAGGATTAAAAGATCCCATGATAGCTGGGAAAATTTTCAGAGCTGTATATTGAGGTCTGTCCTGGTACAGTTTTTCTCATTGAATTTCATTTTTCAAGCTCATTAGCGCAATCAAGTAGGAAATTCAGAGATAAAACTCCATTTAGTGTCATCCTTCTGTCCCTAATTTGAAATCAAATGCAGTTTATATCCTTAGTTTCTGCATCTTATTTGAATTCTAATTATGTGCTTGATTCTGTAATAAAAGGAATTTTGCCATATCAACTGTGCTAACAAGAATGTAACTTTGTAATATCCAACTGTTAAAGATGGGTTTCCTTTTTTTTTTAGTGTCAAATTAAGCGAACTATTTGATTAATTGGTGTTTGTAATGAATTATCATGTATTCTTTATCTTTCATTATGTTCTTATTGCATATAATTAAGAGTTTTAACCAAATTGGTGTTTTTCCAAATCATTAGAACACCTCTACTTTCATATAAGTATTAGTATATTCATTTTCATAAATAAAAATAAGGGAACCCATCTTTAAGCATCATTAACATGCACATTCTGTTGCAGAAGGGACACCTGTAACTGTTATTGTCCTATCCAAACAACAAGATGTTTTTTTAAAGCCTACCTCTCCTATCTAATCAAGAGAAAAACTAATAATGGGAACTTTGTAGAAAGACATTTAGCTCTGCACAGCACAAATGTAGAATTACAAGTAAAATTTAGTTTTGGCAGTACAATTGCACCATTTAGTTTCATAAGGAATAAAAATACAAATCTCTGTGACTCACAAAACTGTAAGTAGACCAGAAGTGACTGAGACAAGGAAACTCTTTGACCTGGTTTAGGTTGCCATGTTGTTTCTATTGTGGTGGACTTTAGTCATGCTGGTGCAACCACAAAAAGATTAAGGTTACACACTTATTACTTGTTAAAAAAACTCACAGCTATTACTACTTTACGCACATATGCAATGTGTTGTCTTTTCAAACTGTTAAACTAATCTCACACCATATATTTTGAATACTTAAAATCTAAAGGTGCAGGCACACGAATGGCCTTTGTCAGAGATTTTTGTCGTTGACTCGAATCTTGAGTAAAATCTCGCTTGTGTCCATGCTTCCAGGACAAGATTATCGTGTCACCGACAGGATTTATGATATCAAACAAGTTTGATACTTGTCTCTGATAGTTTTACCGTCAGTAAGATAGACCCTCATCATCCAATCAGATTCATTTTCCTTTCAATTGCATGTTCTGCATGTGATTATCAACAAGATGGAAATGAACGACTGGAGATTTTTGTCTTGTGCCAGTTGTTAAAACTCTTGACAAGACTCTAAACAGCGACAAAAGTCTCTGACCAAGACCACTCATGTGCCTGCACCTTTTCTCTGATGAAGAGTTTGACATGCGAAATGTAAATTAATACTTGGAAACTATAATACAATTACAAAGAGAAATTCCCCCTCCTTCCTCAATTTTTAAAATTTCTATTTGCTGCTCTTGTAGCATCTATTTGGATTATTCCCATTGTTTATGTAGGGCTGTGATTCCTGTAATTCCAAAAAATGACCGGAATGGTTTTGTAAAAGTGATAATTTTAGAATGGTAAGAACAACCTTGGAGTAATGACTTCAGGGAACAACAGACGCCAGTGATATAAGTCTGTTATACATATATAAAAGCTAAAAATCCTCTTTTGATTTCTTTAGAATAGATTATGATAAATGATGAACTTGTAAAGAAAATTCCAATGAATCGGTTCCAATGACGGGTTCTGTTATTGTCATCGCTGAGGTTTTTCATAAAATTTAAGCTTTTTGTCATAATGAAATTTAAGTTTTTAAGTGATGCTGTGACATGAACATTCGAAAAGTAGTGTTATGTATGCAATAACTTCCTACATTAAGAATAAATTTCATATCTCTTTAAGTAGTTGCTCATGATTGCTAAAATAATATTGTCATGAATTTGTGTCGAATATGAATTTTAAGGCAAATTTAAAGGGGTATTCTGCTTTTTTGTAAAAAGTTTTCATTATTGTAAATTATATCTGAAAATATTTGTAAAATATGCTATTTATATCTATGTATCTTCTATATCCAACTGAATTTGTTGAAAGGGTTAATTACATACTGAGTACTAATTGTTAATTAGAAATTTGACTTAATTTTGGTGTTTGGCTTTATAATGGCTTAATTTAAGTTGAAACTTCTCGAATACATGGGGAACATATGTTTCTACAATTAGGCATTTACATATTATTTTTAAATATTTTTGGCTTTTAAAAATTACCGTCTGGATTTTTTTTAGTTAAAACTTTCAGATATGTTAAAGGGCACATTTCTCTAGATTTTGGGGTATAGTTTTCACAAAAATTGTTGACCTACAAAACAAGTGGAATGTCCCTTTAAGAAAGATTTCAAAAGTTGACAGGTACAAATCCATATTTCATATAGAAACAAAATGTACTTAAAACCTAGCTATATGAATGTGAACTTTTGATACCAGAGCAGTTATGAAATAAGCAATAAGTATGATTGTAAGTTATCCTCAATTTGAACTCAAGTAACTATAATACTAAATCGTTACTGTGTGACTTATTAGGAATTAATATGGTTGATTAGTTACAAGTAATAGTTAAGGTCGGTCTAGTTCAATCTAATTATATTACAGTGGCCAGTGGACTGATGGGGTAACAAGGTTATGTATTGAGGTCTTATGATGAAGTAACCCCCACAGTAATGTTGGCCTGGGGTTATATACACCTCCCTTCTGGTTTGGGCCAGAAAGCTGGGGTTATTTAAGGGTAAAGCTTGCCGAGGTTACTTAAGGTGAATGAGAGTTCATACCTAGGTCATCTGGCTATTAATAGCTGCACTGAGCCAACATGCAGTAGAAAGCTGTGGTGACCATTCGATGACCCTAACAAAGCTAGGTCATTGCTATAGTATATGTCAAAAAAAATCAGAATAGTATCTGCCGTGCTTAACATGGTGATAGGCACGTTTAAACTTAGTTTATGGTATATTGGACTTTTTCACATCATTTATAGGTCTTTGAAGCTAGTATACTAATACAGTGAAAGTTATTATGTGATAACATGATAGTTACTAGAGGATGTGGTGTTATTATACAGTCAATGTCTATCATGTAGTGGATTATTTTAATCTTTCATTATAAATTCTATTGGACTCTTATTGGATTATTGTTAAATTTGATTAAAGGTAGGCTGACCCTTTTGAATTCTTATTGAATGTTTATTTTTTATTATAGACTCATTTTATTCTAAATTTTATACTGAATGATATGTAACTTTTTGGTGAATGATATTCAACACAATAAGATATGCAACTCTGTGTAGTAAGATATTCAACACAAAAAGATATGCAACTTTGTGGTGAATGATATTCAACACAATAAGATATGTAACTCTGTGTAGTAAGATATTCAACACAATAAGATATGCAACTTTGTGGTGAATGATATTCAACACAATAATATATGCAACTCTGTGCTGAATGATATTCAACACAGTAAGATATGCAACTTTGTGGTGAATGATATTCAACACAATAATATATGCAACTCTGTGCTGAATGATATTCAACACAGTAAGATATGCAACTTTGTGGTGAATGATATTCAACACAATAATATATGCAACTCTGTGCTGAATGATATCCAACACAGTAAGATATGCAACTTTGTGGTGAATGATATTCAACACAATAAGATATGTAACTCTGTGTAGTAAGATATTCAACACAGTAAGATATGCAACTTTGTGGTGAATGATATTCAACACAATTAGATAATTATGTAACTTTGTTGTGAATGATATCCAACACAGTAAAATATGCAAGTTTGTGGGGGTAATACAATAAGATACACAATAAGATATGGTGTAGTAAGGTATTCAACACAATAAGATATCCTACTTTGTGCTATACAATATCCAATACAATAAAATATGCAACTTTGTGCTATATGATATTAAACACAATATTATATATAGTTTTGTGTTGTTCGCTATCCAACAGAATAAGATATGCAAGTTTGTGCTGTTAGATATCCAACACAATAAGATAATATGCAACTTTGCTCAATAAGATATCAAACTTTTGACAATAAGATATCCTACTTTCTGTAGTAAGATACCCAACTTTGCAGAACAAGATATCCAATGAAATATCTTAATACATTTCATATGCACTAAGATATTTGATGTGCTTGAAAGAACAAGAAATAGTTTATTATAAAAATGTGAATGAATATTTAATTAGAATGTTCTAAATTAAAATTGAATAATATTATCAGTGTACAAATTGTAATAATCTAATATAACTTTTATTGTTTGGTTGGTCTTGTTGATTTTTCACTTTTATATGAAAGAAATGGTTTAGATTTTCTGATTATCACAGAGGCATTTTCATTGTCATCTAATTAATTGCTTTATTATGAAATAGTGAAAATTTAGCACTGTCTGTGTTTTTCATGAGGTTCTATAGCACAGTTGGTTAGAGCATTGGTTGGTTACTTCAAGCGAATGGCAGCTGTGGGTTCCGATCTCAATTGGTGTGTGAAAGTCTGATGACCTTGAATAAGTCATCTTCACTCATAATTCCAGTCGACCCATCTATAAATGGGTACAGATATTCCAACAAAGATCAATGACAAGAGGTTTGGGCAAGGACCAGCTTGTAGAAAGGATCCTTAACTGTGAACCGAAGTTATTGTCATCCTTGTAAAATATAGTTGTTTGTTCTTTGTTTTCAGAAGAAAAAAAAACATGACCTAATGATTTGCCAGTAATTTTTTTAGGATTAATTATCAAAACTAATTCACGAGAGATTTTCTTGTGTTTGTATTTGTACTGAAACACAATTGCATCTATCTGCATTTTTGGTTTTTGTTCTGTAAAAATAAGATTCAGAGATTGGAAATCTGAATGTTGCAAAATGAATTTATAAGTGTCTTACACACAAAGGCTATAAAAGACATGTGTGGGTGTATTGGTTCAAAGAGACTCTAATCAACCAAATGGAACAAAATCTGTAACATTAATGGAATTGAGAGTGAGAGATAACTAACAAAATTATGCAAAATTTATGCTAATCAATTACATTAAATATGCTGTTACAAAGTCAGATAATTTGAATCGATTTAGGTCATCTTTCTAAATGAATAGCCAAATGTGTCAGAAACACAATTTTTTTTAGCATTTTTCTTTAGATATTGAATGTTATCACTTAATGTATTTTTATCAAAGAACAAAAAAGCCTTCAAACTTCCTGGTTGAGGTTTCCAGTCTTATCTGTACTATAAATCAACCTGTTTCTAAAAGGTTACAGTGAAATGTTCAATAAGAATACAGTCAAGTCTGCTACAATAGTTGCAGCATGCGGCTCGGCTCTACAATTAGTTATCAGCTAATGCTATATTTTGAAGAGAAAAAAAATCAGTTGATTTAAAGTGAAGGTTCTCTAAAATATTGAAAGCTGCAACGTAATCCTTTCTCCCTTTGAACACAAATTTATGGGGGTATTCTTTGATTAATGGATATGACGTGATTTTTTTTACACCAACAGTGTCATTGTTTTCTTTAAAAAATATACTTACTTTTGCTGACGAAGCTTATAGAATTACTTTTCAAAATAAAAGGTTTACATACAGTTTGTATGCAATTAATCATAAAAAAGTTAAAAGTTATGCTTGTTACTTTATTAACCATGAACCATAAAATTCTCCTAATCTGGTTAATCTTTTCTGGCAATGAAAATTATACATGGGTGGGTGGTTGGGTTAAACAATATTTATAATAAAGCAGCTTTTTTTTATTATTATAGCACAGGATAAGTCGCTACCACCTGAAAACTTACTAAACATTACTAAGCTTAGCTGCTTCGATCCAATGCTCATGCTTTCTATGAGTTATATTCTCATTTAACCTTAAAGGGACAGTTGTGCCATTTTGGGGGGTTGATTTGACTGTTGAATATTTGTAAATAGTATTCAGAAGTACTTGAAATGTTAGAAAATAGCATAATTCCTTTGAAAAAACTTCAAACTAGGAATTTTACTCACTATATTATGTCTTGTCTATATATCACAAAGTATCTTAAATTGACGAGTCGTCATTTTAACATTCAATAATTCTGGACACACATGGATTTGAAGGATCAAATTTTGATGGTGAGCTGTGAACACTATTACTGATTGGCCAAGCTAAAAAATTCCCATTTCTGAGACTAAGATATCATTGGTCAAAAAAATGGCGCATCTGTCCCTTTAATACAAACAGTTTAAGTTGTAATGGTACTAACAGAACACCAAGCTTTTCTCTTAAACCATACAAATGTCTTGGTTATATCTTGAAATTTGATGATAATTAAGATTGGTGTATTGAATAGCTAACTGAAATCCAAACCCCGAGGCAATGTAAATCTTGAATCACTTGTAAATAAGTATGAATGAAAGAAAACATGGTAGTAAGTGAAAGTACTATTAACTTAATAAGTAACTATACTTCAGTTAAACACCTTACTTATAACAGGTTTCGTTGTTTTATATATTATACTAGTTGTACAATAGGGTAGTGGCTTGCTGGTGCGGGTGTTTCTGCAGTACCTTTTTACTTTTAAATTACTTGGATGTGATCTTTCATGAACTAGCTGCACCTTTTTACTGACAACAGATGCCTTTTCCTAGAGAACAAGATCATCTCCATAGGCTTTAAGTTTTTTCGTTCAAGGTCTGTTGAAGTAGGTAATATGACAATGGTCGCTTGCTAAATGGCAGCATCTTTCATTTTGCTGCCAGGTTTTTCAATACAGCATCTCAATAGAAAATTCACATGGATTGTGGGATATATTAACTATATCTATCCAAAGCCAAAAGGAAGATATGCTATTTGAATTGCCAGTTTTCCATGACATTTTTATGCTTGGTTACATTATAACTTACATGAACTCTTCAGTTTTGAAGGTGCAGAAGTACTATTTCAAACTGTTCAGCCTTAAATAACCTAAAAAAACTGATTATGAAATCTGGTGTATTTTAGGTTTATATATATCAGTGGGACAACATATATTATGTCTATTTCCTGAATGGAAAATTTCTCGCAAAACATTTGTACAGACAGATTGACCTTGGATACTATTGGACAGTAGGATAAGTAGGTCAGGATTGAAATTTGTTGAATATACTTTATCATTCTATTGTGACCTAATATTTATTTAGTTAAAATCAGTGTTTAAAAAGTGAATAAAAAATTAAATTTTCAGTTGATATTTTTATAGATCATTTCTTTAGAATATTCTGGTTGTATAAAAAAGGATTGTATAAAGAAATGGTTTCTTACTACAATGACTATAGAATTCTCCAACTTCAATTTTGCTGTGAAAAAAAAAGAAATTAAAGGAACATCCTTAGTAGTGGCGGTTGTCGCAGGAGAAGCAGACCATGCTTACTCTTTTCTAAACACTGTTTCTCTTTAGATGAGTCCACTACTATACAACTTTTACTCGTTCTTTGGATGAGATTTTGTTCAACAGAATCAACTTGCTTGTACAAATTTTTATTCAAAACTTTTAGGATTCTATCTACCAGCATTGGTCTTAGTCATCTGTTTTGAAGTATCCATACCTAGGTAGCTACAATGGAATAAAGAAGAAAGATGACTTAATCTAAGTTTCACACCCATTCATGTAAAATATAATCAGATAAAATTAAGGAAAAAACTAACTGAGTGTAAAGCTGTGCCCCAATAAGGTTTTCCTAATTTCACAGTGTTAGTAGATAAGGTATAGAAATATATCGAACTAAAACCCCTTAAATATTACAAAAATTATCTTTTCTCATAAAAGTACTATAAATGAAATGAATGGAGTTTTACGTCCTACTTTTCTGTATCATGTGGGTTTGAACAATGGCATTAGCCTGCTCTTTTCCGATTTCCAACTGTCAAGGGATCTTTAACATGCCTCCGTTTATTGTCGCATCTGAAGAACTAGACACTTTTTCTATGTCAGCCCCTCTTACCTGCATCATTGACAGGGGGAAACCGGGTTGAAAAATCCAAAGGTATTATCTTGACCTATGCCAGGATTGAAGCCTGTAATTTCAGGTTAGCGAGCAAGTGTCTAATTCACTGAGCCACCAAGGCTCCCTACATTACTATAGTCATCACTACAAGATATATGACTGACCTTAAAGAGTACATAAAACATGAAAGATTATGTCTTGTTATCTTTTTCAAATCTCACATTCATCTTTAAACTGGGTTAAATGTGATTGAAAAGATGACCCATTAAGACATTTGACCAGTGAAATGACCAATTGACTCATTTGGTGTAATAATAACCTGAATCTCTAGTGTTTACATTAGTACTGTTTTCACATCAAACCATTTGTTTATAAAAGGATGTTAACCATTTGACCATTGAGGTGAACAGCCGGTCAGCTTCAAGGTGAACCTAGAATGCCTGAACTAATGGAGAACCTCAAGGTCACCCAGTTTTCACCAGGTCTTGAGAAAAAATAGAAAATATAGATTAGATACCACATGTTTGAATTCCCATAAAGCCATAAAAACCTTAATGTGCCATTAACATTCTTATGTAGCCCATTGATTTTCAACCTGTTTTTGTTTGTGTCTCCAAATTGTATATGCTTAAAATTTTGGTCCCAGAAATCAAAATTGAAACTAAGATTAGATACCAGACAAGATCAAGGGTAGTATGGTAGTATTCTCCAAAAAAATTCTCTGGGTACACAGAGACAATGATAGCCATGGCCATGTATAGTGCAGTCATATGAGATGTTGTATAAGTTCGATATTTTGTTATTGCCTGTGATATAGGGTTCAATTTATGTGGTATGGGATTAAATTTTGGGAGTCAAAATGACCCATCATGCAGTCCAATATTACCTTTGATGAACTTAAATGAAAATTTATTACGACGAATCAAATCATATTTTTCTTGAGAATTTTCTGCCTAATCTAGAAACATGGAAACTTTAGTTGTAGCTATAATTTTAAGAAATTAGCATCAACCTAAAATCTGCAACTGGAATCTCTGGATTTGCTGCGGATTTTCAAGTAAATGTGAATCAAAATTTAACACTTGAATGATTAGATAAAACTGAAATAAGGTGAGATAATATGCTGTGACACATCAAATGTTTCAAAAATAAAGGTATTAAAGTGTGCAACCTCTTCATTATCCCTTTTATGCAATATGTTAAAGGAACAGGTAGACCATTCTTTTTGACTAATCATACTTTAGTCTCAGGAACAGGAATTTTTTAGCAAAGCCAATCAGTAAAAGTTTTCACAGCTCATCGTCAAAATTTGAGCCTACAAATCCATGTGTGTCCAGGATTATCTGCGTTTGAGTGTTAAAATGATGACTTGTTATTTTAAGATACTCTGTGATATATAGAAAAGACATATATAGAAATAATCACTAAAATTCATGGTTTGAGATATTTTTGAAGGAATTATGCGATTTTCTAACATTTCAAGTACTTCTGAAGACTATTTACATAAATGCGAGACTCAAATCAACCTCTTGAAATGTCGCAACTCTTTAATGAATCTAAGAATCTTTAATGAATCTTTAATTATCAAGGGTTATATGTCAGTTTAATGGATCATGAATCAGTTTTAGAGGATCTGGGCGAAAAACATTAAACAATTAAAATTTGAACGAAAGAAACGTAGTCATCTAAAAATTTGCTTTTACCTGATATTTTACCAATTCGTACTTATACCTTGACTGCAATAGTCACCTTTCCTGTAGCACAGAATGCAGGATTCGATTGGTTGTACACCAGAGAATACAGCCAATCAGAGGCCTTGACAGAATGACTATAAACTTTTTGGTTTTGTTTTCACAGACTTTCAGGCAAAACCTCAGATTGGTTGTATTCGTTCGCCTCAAATCCAATCAAACTGCTTCATTTACAAAATTCTACGATACAGGAATAGTGGCCAATGTAGTCAAGGTATAAGTAAAAAGTTTGTAAATAGGTTGACACTATAAGATGGTGTGGAAATTGACTAATACAATACATGAAACTTTCATACATATTTACCTGGAATTGTGCGAGGTGAGTTCTGAAAAAGAACTGTGGGATCAGAAAGCTCTACCAGCTTAATCTTAAAAGTAAATATTTAGACAGCTGTATCCCTTTAACAGCTTATTTGAAAAAAAAAGTAACATTTCTCATTATTGAATTGATTTATTGGTCTATTGACATTTATATATATATATATATACAGTGAATCCTGCTCATGAGACCACCTCTACTAAACAACCACCTTCAATATGCAACCCTTTCAACTTTTCAATATAACAAGCAACTGTTAAGAGGCCACCTCCATTACCTGACCAGAGACCATGTATTTACACTCCCATGAAAGCAAAATCAGGCAATTAGGCGACAATAACAGTTATTATCTCCCTTGTATAAACATCATATGGTTTCACATGCAGGCGAGATTAAAAGGGATTATAGCTTCTTGGCAATTTTTGCTAATCTCCAAAAGATTAATACAATTATTAATTAATTACATCAATCTATTTTACATTAAATCTAAATCTAAAAGGTGACTGTCAAAACAAAATATTTTTTTATGTTTATTCTGGCCCAATTCTCTTCTAAGAGACCACCTCCATTATTCCCTTGAGTGGTCTCTTAATACAGGTTCTACTGTATATATATATATATATAATGTAATATATGTACATGCTTATGTATGAATAGGATCATCTCAAAATGTACATATAAAGCATGTATATTTTATATCTTAATACAAATAACCATGAGTAGTGTAACATTTTGTACCAATGATCCAAGGTAAAATTGTGTTATCTTTTACTCTTTTCTTGTGATACAACTTGAGAACCTAAACCACCTTTTCATTCAATTACCATAGCTAAATTGTCTATGAGGGGAAAGTTAATTCATTAAGAATTTCTAAAATACATGACATTCAACTGACAGCTTAAGTTAGGTTCTAAAGTAAGTAAGATGTTAAGTGAAATTTTCATGGTTATAATACTTGATACAAACATCTCTCATGCTAGGATGTCTTTATATGTTATAATCCTTAACAGAAGCCTTGTCCATGCTTGTCAATCAGTAACCCTATTATTATGCTGTTTTATATTCAAAGATGTCTTTGTAATTTTTAATTCTTGACAAAACAGGCATATGTTCCCAAGATATCTTTTATAAACAGCCGTATGTTTTATATTTCCAGAGATATCTTTATAAGCAGTCTTATGTTACCAAAGATATCTTTATAAACAGTCTTATGTTACCAAACATATCTTTATAAACAGCCATATGCTCCCAAGATATCTTTATAAAGAGCTCTTTGATATTTTTTTATGCAAAGATATCTTTATAAACAGCCATATGTTATATATTACCAAAGATATCTTGATAAACAGTCTTATGTTACCAAAGATATCTTTATAAACAGCCATATGCTCCCAAGATATCTTATAAAGAGCTCTTTGATATTTTTTTATGCAAAGATATCTTTCTAAACAGCCATATGTTATATATTTCCAAAGATATCTTTATAAGCAGTCTTATGTTACCAAAGATATCTTTATAAACAGCCATATGCTCCCAAGATATCTTATAAAGAGCTCTTTGATATTTTTTTATGCAAAGATATCTTTCTAAACAGCCATATGTTATATATTTCCAAAGATATCTTTATAAGCAGTCTTATGTTACCAAAGATATCTTTATAAACAGCCATATGCTCCCAAGATATCTTATAAAGAGCTCTTTGATATTTTTTTATGCAAAGATATCTTTCTAAACAGCCATATGTTATATATTTCCAAAGATATCTTTATAAGCAGTCTTATGTTACCAAAGATATCTTTATAATCAGCCATATGCTCTCAAGGTATCTTTATAAACAACCATATGTTACTTTGTATCCAAAGATTCCTTTATTACATTATATCGCAGTCAATCAAATAATAATGTACTGATGCATACTGATATGCATTGCTAATATAATTATATAAGTTTGGTGGCTTTATCATGACAGGCTTTCAATCTTTCTACAGCCATACAACACAAAATAACTTGATTAATTTTATCAATAATGGCACGGTGACATAATAATGAAGCACAGTGACCTGCATATCAGATATACCATAGTTTATATAACTATATATTCATATAACTCAATATAATATGTGATATACATATGACAATATACACATGTCAGTGAAGGGCTGTTGATTTCAAAGAATTTACCAGCCATGTCGATGAAGTGTTAGTAAAATTTTTGTCATGTTTGTTGGTCATTTTTATATGCCCACACATAAGATGGGCGTATATTGTAATCACCCCGTCGGTCCGTCGGTTCACATTTGGCTCGTGCTCACTCTACAGGCTACAGTTCTTTATGGATTCTTTTGATTTTTTCCCTATTGATTTTCGTGATGATCGGATAATTTTTCACCGAAATATCGTGTCTGACTTGACGTTTTACTCTATTAGCTATATTGTGCAACTCATGCTCACTCTATAGGCTACAATTCTTTACAGATTCTTTTGATTTTTATTTTGTATGTCTATGTCGTTATGAAGATGATCCCTATTGATTTTCATGATAATCTATCGTGTCTGACTTGACGTTTCACTCTATTAGCTATATTGTGCAACCCTGTAGTCACTAAAGACTGTTTAATTATTTCTGACAGCTGCCAGTGGGCGTATGTTACCTTGCCTGGCAAGCTATCTTTGGAAAAAAAAATTCCATATTACCTAAATGTAATATAGGCCTACCACTAAATGATATTCAGCATTGCAACTTTAAAATTACAAAATAAACAATATGAACTATAAGGACTCTCTGAAAGGTATACCTAGTTGACAATCCAAGTTGCAGTGTTGTTGGGTGTTTTGGCACCTGAATTTTTTCTAATCTTTGTTCCAGTTCTATATAACTAATACTTTACTGATAGTTCCTAACCCTTATCATTTAATGACAATCTTTGCATCAGTTTTGGGTACAAATTCAAAACAACAGTACATCTAAGTACATTTGATGTGACAACCTTTAACTACTTAAGAGAATGACATTAATGGGGTGAAAATTAAACTTTGGTCACTACTATCATAAAATAATTTGATTGGAGACAAACCAGATGTTGGATTTTCAATCTGAAAAAGCTATGAAATAGAGTTATATCAATAAATTAAGATTATAATTAGATGGCTAAATTCCTTTAAATGATGCACTTATTTTATTTGATGACAATTTCATAAGTCTGGTGATCTATAGTCTGAAACATCTGTTTCTATTCCATCCTCTGATAGATATTTTGACAGCTGTCGGCTGGAATAGTGTCAGAAAAACTAGGTCCTGTTTTATGAGGATTTTCACACCTCCGAAGATGCATTTTTTCTAACATTGTGTTAAATTACCTTAAAGATGACTGTAATTTAGTGTCAGGTATCACTGTCACTTTTATTTTGTTAGTATCACGTGACTTTTGAACTGTTAGCTGTGCACACAGATTTAAATGGCGTACTATAGAACACTTTTGTTAATGGAACTTTGATGGAACTGCAAACATAAATGGTGTAGTCAGATTATGATGGTATGACTTAACTACAAAAAATATCCATCTTTCTGAATATATTTGGGTCAGATTTTAGTAAGGTTTGAAACGACACCATCTTCAGAGGTGCAGAAAAATCCTAGTTTTTCTGACTCTACACCAGCCAACAACTTTCAAAATAGCTTTCAGAGGCTGGAATAAAGGCAGAAGTTTCGGTGCAGGTGATCTACTGATCAAAGATTAAAATATTAGGAAGTTGTCAATGTGTCTTGGGGCCAGCTGTTAACATTATTATGGTGTTCATGATAATTTATTGGTAATAGTCTTACATATTATACATGACAGATCATAGTGCTTTTAAATTGATACACAATTGCATAACATTTTTGCACTAAATAGTTAAAGAGTACATGAAACTACATGTAGGATAGATCTTTTGAAATTACTTTTTAAGTAGAATTGCATTAACCACAGACGTCTGATTGAAAATTGGAATGGTGCAAATCGATGCTATCAGTGTCTCTCATACATATAAATTTTGTTAGAAAATCATGCGGACATAAATGGCCCTTGCGGATCCGTCATGCGTCAAATATGATTGCATATGTGCGTTTAACGTATGTGTTATCTTTCTTTTAAAGCACAGACCTCTAGACAGATGGCTGCTTTGATGCATAAAAAAGAGAGGGAATCCCCAAAAAAATACGTCACATTTGGGAGATCTCCGCGCGGAAAGACGTCCGGATGCATCAAAAATTGCTGCTCCCGGCAATTTTTTTTTTGACGCATGTCGAAGAACATTTGACAGATACTCCTTCCGCATACTTGGAATCATACCCTCTTAAACCAACCATTTCAATTTTTAACGGATGACACATGACGGAGCCCCATGACGCGTATATGGAATCTTAGCTTTACACTCAAAATTGTTATATGTATGCGTTATAATTAAACAATAATATGTATTTATGTAGGGAAATGTCTAGAATATTCTCTAATAAAATCATCCAGGTTTATTGTCTATCATCTTCACATTAATGTCAAGCTATTATGAACTGTGTCTAATACCTTGACTGCAATAGTCACCTTTCTTGTATCACCACAGTTTCAGCGAATTCAATCAGACTGTAAACAATTTGAGGGCTATGATTGACTTATTTGCTAGCGTGCAATCCAATCAGATCACTGTAGTTACAAACTTCTGGTTACAAGAACGAGCGCTTTTGCAGTCAATGTTTGTAATAGCTTGATAATGTGAAGACAATTTTCTGTCAATATTGATATTAAGTTATTATCAGTGTTCTGAATGAAGAATATGAAAATAAAAAAAAATATATGGTTGTTCTGTAGAGTTTTCTCAATTTTATCATCTATTTTTGTAATTTAATGAAAGTTTGAATTTAATTTTTTGATATATTAGTTAACATGTTTCCAAAAAATTCAAATCAGTTTATTAAAGGGACTGATGCAACATTTTAGGGGTTGATTTGTGTCCTGAATATATATAAAAAGTCTGCAGAAGTACTAGAAACGTACGAAAATCGCATAATTCCTTTAAAAATATCTCAAACTAGGATTTTCTTTTCCTATTTCAATAGATGTCTTTTCTATATATGACAATGTCTCAAGAAAAGACGATTCGTCTTTTTAACTTTCAAACAAGGATAATTCTGGACACGCTTGGATTTGAAGGCTCAAATTTCACAGTGAGCTGTGATCACTATTACCGATTGGCTTAAATAAAAAAATCTGTACGATTGGTAAAACAAAAATGGCGCAGCTGTCCCTTTAAAATGTATTATCCATGTAATTTTCATTTCATTCTAACATGTCATGGTGAACTTTAAGTATGTTGTTTTTTTCTTTCAATTGCATTTCTTTCTGTAATCATTTAGATTAAAATTTGCTTGCAAAATATATTGACTCATCATAGCAGTGAATTCCATTCTACACATTAATTTATAATTTAGTCGATCTGAAGAGCATTTCTACCTTTTAAGTGCAATTCACTCTGTAATCATTAAATTTGCTGGATTCAAAAGGGGTTAACTCTTTGTAAAGTTCAATTCACCCTTACCACTTACAAATTCATAATTTGCTCGATTTGAAAAGTATTCAAGTGCTTTTCACTCTGTAATAAAAAAAAAATATGAAAATTGGCTTGATTGACTATCTGTAAAGTGAAATTAACCAAAAAATTCATTAATAATTTGCTTGTTTTAGAGAAAGTATTTATCATTCTCGAGTGCATTTTACCATGTAAAGTGTGTGGTATCTTATTAAAGTGAAATTCACCTTAATTTATAATATGTTTGATTTTTCTGTAGTGCATTTCACTCTGTATTCAAACAATTTAAAACTTTGCTTGATTCAAAACCTGTTGACACTTCATAAAGTAAAATTCACTCTAAACATGTCTTATTAATTTACAATTTGCTTGATTTGAAAGTATTAACTCTTTCTCAAGAACTTTTCTTTCTTATATTTAATATTAAAAAATTTGCATGATTCATTAAGTGATGACTCTTAGAAAAGTGCTTTTCACCTTACCACTCATATAGATTAAATATCAACTTGATGTGAAAAATCCTCACAAGATTGTAAAGTGCATTTCCCTTTACTAATGAGTAAATTTTTACTTGACTGAAACATTATTTTGTAAAGTGCATTTCACTCTGCTATTAATTAAAATGAAAAAAAATTGAATGGAAAATTTGTTTAAAGTGCATATGACTCCCTTGTAAAGTGCCTTTCACTCTGCTATCCTGGAAATGAGATATGGCATGATTTAACAATGTTTACCTCTTTAAGTTATAATTGGCTATATTTTATTATTAAAACCATTTGTCAATACTTATATATTTGTCATGGTTGTACCTAAAAATATCTTAATATTGATACAATTTTCGTTCAATATTTTTTATCTGATTACAATAAATTATGCATTGACGAACACAGGTTGCATTGCACTTTATAGATGTAACGTTTTTATAGCATAACACATAATACCACTTTGTTTTGATTAATTCTTATTTTTTTGATCTATTCATATTTTTTTGATCAATTCACATTTTTTTGATCAATTCATATTTTTTTGATCAATTCTTATTTTTTTATCAATTCTTATTTTTTTTTTTTTAATCAATTCTTATTTTTTTTTAAATCAATTCTTATTTTTTGTTATCAATTCTTATTTTTTGTTATCAATTCTTATATGCTCGCTGTTCAATTGTCCTTTGAGAACTAAAGCCATTCATGTTCTAAAACCTTATAGTTTTCATGTTCTTATAAAAAGATATAGTTGCGTTTATATTGCACAAACTCAATTTCAACAATCTGTATCCCTTTCAGAATCAAACACTTGACATGTAGTTCTCTTGCACTTAAATGAAAATGCAATATGTACAAGTTTAAGCTGTCGTTATTATTTACATTCTAAAGGCTGATACATTTTCTATTTTTGTAAGGGGAAAAGTGATATATAGATTGCTAAAATTAAGGAGTAAATAAGTATGAATGTATCCTTTTGATGTTAAATAATTTGATAAACCTCTGATGATATATCTCATCAAATCCCTTTTAAATAGAATCTTTGAGACTTTATAGATAAAATACCAGGGATATTTGCTATTATACTAGAAAGTCAATATTCCAATGTCTAGCCCAGGGGTTTACTTCCAAAAAAGACTGTAGCCAAATAGAAAGACTCAAGCTTGTCTCTAGCCAAATAGAAAGACTCAAGCTAGACTCTAGCCAAATAGAAAGACTCAAGCTAGACCCTAGCCAAATAGAAAGACTCAAGATAGATTCTAGCCAAATAGAAAGACTCAAGATAGACTCTAGACAAATAGAAAGACTCAAGATAGACTCTAGCCAAATAGAAAGACTCAAGTTAGACTCTAGCCAAATAGAAAGACTCAAGCTAGATTCTAGCCAAATAGAAAGACTTAAGATAGACTCTAGACATATAAAAAGACTCAAGATAGACTCTAGCCAAATAGAAAGACTTAAGATAGACTCTAGACATATAGAAAGACTCAAGCTAGATTCTAGCCAAATAGAAAGACTTAAGATAGACTCTAGACATATAGAAAGACTCAAGCTAGATTCTAGCCAAATAGAAAGACTTAAGATAGACTCTAGACATATAGAAAGACTCAAGATAGATTCTAGCCAAATAGAAAGACTCAAGATAGACTCTAGACAAATAGAAAGACTCAAGCTAGATTCTAGCCAAATAGAAAGACTCAATATAGCCAAATAGAAAGACTCAAGATAGACTCTAGACAAATAGATAGACTCAAGTTAGACTCTAGACAAATAGAAAGACTTAAGATAGACTCTAGACATATAGAAAGACTCAAGATAGACTCTAGCCAAATAGGAAGACTCAAGTTAGACTCTAGCCAAAAAGAAAGACTCAAGATAGACTCAAGATAGACTCTAGACAAATAGAAAGACTCAAGTTAGACTCAAGTCAAATAGAAAGACTCAAGATAGCCAAATAGAAAGACTCAATTTAGACTCAAGTCAAATAGAAAGACTCAAGCTAGATTCTATCAAATAGAAAGACTCAAGTTAGACTATAGCCAAATAGAAAGACTCAAGATAGACTCTAGACAAATAGATAGACTCAAGTTAGACTCTAGACAAATAGAAAGACTTAAGATAGACTCTAGACATATAGAAAGACTCAAGATAGACTCTAGCCAAATAGAAAGACTCAAGCTAGATTCTAACCAAATAGAAAAACACAAGCTAGTCTCTAGCCAAATAGAAAGATTCAAGCTAGATTCTATCATAAAAACCATCTGCCATTTAATATCCTATACCCGAGAAGAATATAGATTTTAAAGAAATTTTCAAAACTTTGTATGTGTATCGGGAAGAATGATAGCATCAATTTGCACCATTCCAATTTTCAATCAGACGTCTGTGGTTCCTGCAATTCCACTAAAACATGTTCCCGATAAGCATAAATAATTTAGAAAACATCTATACAATCCCTTTAAGGTTATGGAGACCTGCTCTGTGATATACCATATTGTTTACTCTCATATGTACTTACATTTTTACATACATTGATGAAGGTCAGTTTGACCTAAGCTTGTAATGTAGCTATTGATTTTTTGTTGGAAAGTAGTCAAGGTCTTAAAACACAGTTCCCACTCTTTAGAAATCTTCCTTTTTATTATTCCAGTCAACTCTGATGTAAATGGGTAGGGATAATCCAGGAAAGATTAATGCTTTGAGAGAAGGTGAAAAAACAGTTGGTAGACATGATCCTCAAGAACATAACTTGTTATCCTTGCATTGTCTTTTCAAGTTCATTGCGTAATGGTGGCAAATGTTGATTATGAATTTTCAATCCAACCAGACCCTCTCTTTCTCGACTTGGAGCTACGGCCTTGCTTTTTGTTATTTCACTGACTGCAAAGTATTACTTCGATTTTTACATGTATATATTGTCAATAAAAATAATAACAATAACAATAACAAGATTTTTATGTGTCAACAGCTGTTCAGTTAACACAACAAACTATGTTGCTGTAGCAACACTATATAAAGTTATATATAAAAAATTCAGATAAAAATGGGTGTTGTATCAAGTAGCTTTTTACATAACTTGAAATGAAATAAAACTTTATGAGCATGTTTGGGTGACTGTTGATTCCTGCTCCATAGATATCATCTCTATAAACTTTTCAATCCAGTTTAGCTCTCAAAAGTTATGTTGAGTTGGTCGGTGCTGGTGCTTCTGATATTTAAATCATGTGACGTCATAAATATTGATGATGTTGGAAAAGATTTACCTGTTAAAGTCAAGATCGTTTGCTCTTATGAAAGTTCCCCAACTGCATTAGCCCAATTTTTCAGAACAATTAACAAGAAAACTTATATCAATAATTCCATTGCTGCTCAGCCTATGTATGACTGCAACGTGTATTAAAAAAAATTTTTAAAATAGATTTTAAGCTAGAAATGCAACATGAATAGGATTTTTTTTATTGGTTTCACAAAAATTATGGAAATTTCAATGCGTCTATAAAAAATCATAGACATTATATATAGAGGAATTAAAAACGTAGACCTTGTAATAAAGGAATGAAAAAGTCATCATTTACATAAAACCACAGAATCAATATTATAATGTTAGGGGAATCCATCTTGAATTAACAGTTTAGATGTATGTTAACTAGGTGAACTCCATTAGATATTTTATTCAATGATTTTAATGAAATAAACAAGCTAGATTACTATGGTTTCATACTTAGGTCACTGTCACCTAGGGAGAAGAGTCAAATGAGGAAACTTAAGATGAAAATTAAGGCTGAGCTCTATTTATTTTCCTTGAATTTTGCATTCTAATTACTTCAATAACATTTGTATAAACAGAAATTAAATAATGATGTATATTATAGGTAAAAAATATTTAATATTTGCTATATATACTTTCTATTCATCTGTTAAGTCAAACTGAATTTGTTTTGATCAAAGTTTTGTAAAACGGAGTGTGAAAATTATTAAGTAAGTATTTTAAACTAGCAATTGTATTAGTATGTATTTGTGTATTAGAATTAAAGGGATTGTAAAGAGGTTTTTGTTAGTGTATGTGGGCACCAATAGCATCAATTGGCACCATTTCAATTTTTAATCAGATATCTGCGGTTTCTGCAATTCCACTAAAGCTAAGTGTTTGATGACACCACTAATCACAAGGGCCTTTTGTGATGAAGCATATTTTGTGATTGGTGATGTCATCAAACACTAAGTTTTAATGGAATTGCAGGAAAAAAATAGAAAATCTTTAATATGACTGATTTGTAATGCCTTGTTTCCACTAGGCAAATTGCCAACTTTGCAAACGGAAAAAAAACTCTTTTCAATATATCGAGGGCCAAATGAAACAGAAGAGCCAGCTTTATCTTGTTCAGCAATAGGGGGCGTACTGGTAACTAATAGTTTAACTAACTATTTAAAGGTAATCTTAAACATCGCGAAAAAATTCAAAAAAAGTACGACTTTATAATCAAGGCTATGGTCTTTCGGGAACGAGTTCAACTTAGTGTAAACTCAGTGCTGTTGACAATAAAGCTTGCTCTAAGCTATTTATGAGCTAGATTTAAAATTCTCAGTGGAAACACGATTTATATGGAGGAAACTATTTAAAATTGATTTATTCAAAATAGAAATAGCAAAGATGAGACAAAAAAAAGGAATTTGTAACTTAGGTAAAAATTAAAATTGTGCAAATAGATGCTATCAGTGTCCCCTGATGCACATCAAAAGTTATAAAAACCTCTTTACAATTCCTTTAAGGATATATCAGGTTTATACAACTATACTCATATTAAAATATGAGTTTAGGATACCCTAACTTATTTTATGACCTACTATACAACAGTATGGATCTATTTTAATAAAATTACATAAGTTCACTTTAACCTGTTGTTGATTGACATATAGATATCTTCACTTGTAAGGGATGTTGTTCAAATATTGGTTCATGAAATTGACTGCAATCCTTACATGTCTCAAGAAATCTTTGTAGATCTTAATGAATTGGTAATGATAATTGGAATTGATTATCGTTATGTTATGCATTGCTAATTTTTACATCTTGTACCAGTTCTTTGTAAATAATTTATCACCTGGTAAAGCTCAATTTCAGCAATTTGAAATTAAGTCTAAGGGCTGATTCTTTAAAATTTAACAACATACACAGGAGAAATTTAGCTCCTAGTCACTTCTATGCAACATATTTGTGAAACTGGAAATTGGATTTTTTCTGTCCATTATAACTTGAAATCAATGTTAACCATTTTGAACCCTGAATGTAAATGAAATAAAACCTCATATGCCTTGAACTTCAAGTAATTTAAGGATATTGATGTCGTGTGTAATGTCCAATGACATATGTAGGGGAGGCAGCATGATGCAGGACAGAAAAAAGTAATTCTATTTTCATTGCCAAAAAAGCATATTGCATAATCCGCCTTCCTAGAAAATTTTCCAGGGGTAGCCCCCCCTGACTTCCCAACACAACTAGTGTCAAAAAGGTGTGCCAAGGTGCTTGGAAGGCACCCCTCCCCTCTCAATGAAATCCTGGCTATGCCACGGTCACCCGTTAATGGCCAGTTTACCAACCCTTCAGGTATACATTGATTATATATGTGCCAGGTTAACTTGCTGCTAGGGTTGAAAGGGTTAATCTGACTTAATCTCTCTAATGCTTACCGACTAAAATTTGACACTGTTACATATTTCTCTGTTACTTAAATAGTTCGGATGAATTGGCATTGAATCAGAGATTTATATAGAAAATTATTATTTGTCATTATGACATTAAGTGAAATAGGAGTGATCTTTATATAAAGTGATTTTTTTCAGTGAGTGTAACTTAAGTGTAAAATGGAAGAAGTGTGATCACATATATAGATACTAGCAATTATCTTATTTCATATTATTTGTTTTTATCGTTTGATCTCCAAATCAGTGTGTGTTTGTCCAAATCAGTGGGTGTTGTAGAGGATATTGCAACAGAATTTCCTGTACATCCCCTTTCAGAGAGTCCACATCATGCTAATAGTGTCTATAAAGCATATTATCGGGATTGCAATGTTCAGAATTGACTTGTGGGGGCTGGCAACCTACTTGTTTTTAAAGCATCAAATAGTGTGTTGGATCAATCACTTTCTTGTAATTACATTTAATAGTTTTCCATGCTGTGTTTTGTTACACTCAGAAAGATTTATATGCTGTCTGTTATCATTTCAGGTGAAGTTATTAAAACATACTGCAGTGAAGAAGAAAGGATGGGTCTGTAGCTGTACCTAAAACATATATGATACAACCATGGGAACACCTTAACTCATTACAAGATGCCCCCACCTAAGAAGCCAAAAAATGGTCCGACTACAGTGGAACAGTTCCTCTCTCATGAGGAACTTAAGAATATGACATGCAAGAAAGAGAAACTACAGACCCAATCTTCAAATGGTTCAAATAATAACTCATCTGAGGTGGAGGGTAAGGATTCTCCTCTGCCAGAAACTAGCAACTCAGGTTCACAACAAGCAGCAACTGGCAATGGAGACAGTAATAATGATAAAAGCAGCCATAAAATATTGAGAAAAATCATAACAACTAATGCAGAGGGCTCTGTTTCGTCTGTACAGAAGTCTATGTCTTCATCTAGTGATGACCTGACACGTGAAAGAGAATTGATCAGTGTCAAAATTGAGCAGCCGGATTCAGATTATGAAAATAAATATGACAATGCAGCTACTACTGTCTCTGTGCCTTCGACAGGGAACAACTCAACTACACCAATTCGAAACGGGAAGATGAAAACCATGGCAGCAGTCCAGTACCTCAAGCCACAGGAAAAAACATCTCTTGGACATTTCAAGAATCATTTCGACACCAAACAAACGGGTCATTCAGAAATCAGCCGAACAATCCTCGCAACTGACCACCTCCACATCTTTGATCAGTCTGTTGTGCGACTACCTCTAACTGATACCTCAGTATCTCAGCCAAGTACCTCATCCTTATATTCAGGAATGGCAGTACCCAATCTACCTCTCTACCCAACAACAGTACAGCCACCAGTCAACAATGAACCCTTTGATTTGTCTGTCAAGAAAAACAGTATCATGGAAATGATGCAGAACACTAAACTTACCCTCAGTAGATCGGAGCAGTACGGAGAAGTTATATCACGGGTTGGAATTCTACCTCAGGGACCGGTCAAGATGCCACCGGCCACAATATCTCTATCTCAAGCTCTTTACCTCACAGGCAGCTCGGCTAAAACAGCCAGCAGCAGCATATCTCCTGTTTCAGGGGTTCAACTCGGGGATGTCAGGAGCTCAGATGCTTTAAACCCTCATCTTGTTGTCAACCTTTTAACCAATCGACGACTTTCGCCAGAAGACTACCCACCATCAACTGTTATTACACCAAGATCCAGTTCAAGAGATAGTCAGTATCCTGGTCGAGATACATTACCGATATCAGATATACCATATGGGTGAGTGTATACATCCTAGCCTCCATAGCTAGAGAGTTGGGTGTTTTTTAGAGTAGTGAATAGTTACACGTACACATACCAGCAGCAACACAACATGTCCTGAATCTTGTACAATCCATACAAAAAATACCTTGCATTGATTGTGATGCAAAGCTTCATCCATTTGCAACTTAAACACATCATCCCTCACATAAACCATTTTGCAATTTGATAAATCGTAAGATGATGCCAAGATTCCTACAAAACCCTGGTTCAAATAGACCAATATGCACATAAATCATTTCCCTTAAGAACATATGCTGCGAATGTCACACATCATCCATAATTCATGATTTACCACACATCATTATTCAAAAGATCTTGAACCTTACATAAATCATGATGCAATGATCCTAAATCGCACAAAAAGTAATGACAAAGTTATTCATAAGAAACGATACAAATGGTCCACACCATCAACCTTGAGGGATTTTGTGCATTTTATAAACAATTCTGCAAATATCCTATCGCATAAATCATGACAAAAACTTACCTGGTACAAAGATTTTACACCTCCCAAGAAATCATGATACAAACAACCTTTAGCATACATAAATCTTGGTACAAAGGTTTTACACCTTCCAGAAATCATGGTACAGACAACCTTTAGTATACATAAATCATGGTACAAAGGTTTTATACCTCCCAGAAATCATGATCAAACAACCTTTAGCATACATAAATCATGGTACAAAGGTTTTATACCTCCCAGAAATCATGGTACAAACAACCTTTAGCATACATAAATCATGGTACAAAGGTTTTATACCTCCCAGAAATCATGATACAAACAACCTTTAGCATACATAAATCATGGTACAAAGGTTTTATACCTCCCAGAAATCATGATACAAACAACCTTTAGCATACATGAATAATGGTACAAAGGTTTTACATCTCCCAAAAATTATGATATAAAGAACTTAAACCAGAAGTAAAACATGGTACAAAATGTTCTACATCTGCCAAAGTAGAGATACCAAACCATTAAGATCATTAAGCAAATGTTCTACATCTCCTAAAAATCACGATTCAAAGGTCCTAAACTTTACATGAAGAACCTACTCCTTACATAAAGCATAGAACAATTGTTTTACAACTCCCTAAAGTCATGATACAAAGAACCTTACATAAATCATGGTACAAATGTTCTACATCACCCAAAAATCATGACACAAAGAAGCTGACCTAGACATAAATCAGGGCTCTACACCATCAAAAAATCATGGTACAAGAGTAGACCTTCTTGCCATAGGAGCTGACATAATGGTTAGCTATGATACATGTACATGGCCTAATTGGCAAACATAATCATAGTAATGACAAGAAGACATCGCGCAGTGTGATTCACAATGTCATGCGATAACAAACCTCGTCCTATACCTTGACTGACTTTATTGTATCTTGGAATGCAGCGATTTGATTGGATTGTACGGCAGCGAATACAGCCAATCATAATCCTTGACAGACTGTACAAATTATGGCTTATTGTTACAGACTTGCTGGTTAGGAATCTGATTGGTTGTATTCGCTAGGGTACAATCCAAACAAATTGCTGTATTTACAAACTTCTGTAATACAAGAATAGTGGCTAATGCAGTCAAGTTATAAGACAAAGTTTGTATTTACTTGACTTTAAGCAAATGCGTGAAGCTCAGAGTAACATGTTTGGCTTTGTGCTTTAATATTTGTAATAATTAGAAGTATGAATATTAATGAAAATATGTGAATGGATATTTTTTTTTTAGTTAGAAATCTCACTCATCCGTGGTGAAAATGAGAATTTATTAAATTTTAACAACCTACAAATTTTATTCATTATCTTCTCCATTCAAATATTTACATTGTACGCAGATTTGTTATTTACATACATGTAGTTACATACAGTTCATAGAAGCTTATACATATAACATTCAAATAGTACATTAAGTTTATAGGTTATCTTTTTACATGTGAGACTAGGTCTTGTACCCAAGTAGCTTTAAGTACATGTACCCGACAAAGAAATAGAAATGTACCCGATGAAAACCTTAAAACCTTCATAATTTCAAACATACATTCTACAGGGGTTTTCACTTTTTACTAAAATATAACAGCTTAACCATTCAGCACAAGGTGAAGATCAATTCATGAAGACTACTGCCAATCAAAATGGTATGAAAATATAAATGTTTTGGTTTGCAGTCTCTGTGTGGGCATAACAGTAATCATTGATATATGCAACAAATTTTGAAACATTGAAAGCAGAGATATTAATGAGGCCATGATTTACAAAACAAGCCAGAAAATTGTTCAGAAATGTAAGATACAGCTTAAATTGCTATTAAGTTAAGTGAATTTCAATATGTTCAAGGAATTTGTCCTCCATGTTCATCAAAATCAGGAAATTTTCATCATTGAGTGAACCTTTGTAGAAGATAACGCAAATGGCCATACATTTGATTTCAAAGAGTAATATTTGTTTGTTTTTTTTGTACAGTTTAGATAAAAGGATCATTATCAGTTAAAATGCATCCTAATTCTTTTAATGATGTAACATAGTAAGATAGAGATCTATATCAGTGTTTCATCTCCAGGTAAAAATGTCATCAGAAATCAAATATTAGGTCACTTAAAGTACATGTAAGTACATAACAAGTAAATGGGAAAAAGTACCATTATATGCGTCTGGAATAAGAAAAAAATGAATGTTACAAATTAAAAATATTGATAGTACTATGTGAAACCAAAAATCAAATCTTTTTGATCTGCAGACACATATTCAGTCAAGGTTTATACAAGCATACAATCTACTAGCTTTTTTCAACCAAAGAATGTTCTTTAAAATTCAATTGAAATTATTGATCAAAAAACAAAATGTTTTTGATAAGTTTAAAATTTTATGAGCATAAGCACATAAACAAATTTATAGGTAATCACATGACATGTAGGCCATAGACATCATGCAATTCATGCTTACTTTAACTTTATCCTATTTTTTATAATATTTATCATGAATAACTTTACAGAGAAATTTATTTTGATACCTCGAATTTACAATTAGCCACATTTTAACATTTCAATACATTCAATGAAATATTTGAAGCAGTAAGACCTCAAATAGCAGACGCTATATAAATGAATTGGAGACAAGTCTGTCAAGCTAGTGCAATACATTCTGTTCCACAACCTCAAAATTCTACATTAGTCCTTCTGCCAGATTGAAGATTGGTAAAGGTAAGTTTAACGTGTCACATTCATGGTGTCAGGTAAGTACCTCTGGTTGAAATTATCCACCAAATACTTTTTCAATCTATCATTGGTTACAGAAGTATTTTGTGGAGTATGGAGTCTTTCATCTTGGACATTTCATGTTGAAACTACCTCAATTCAACAACAAAGCTTCATCACTCTTATCAGGATGCAGAAATGTAGGACAAAATATTTATTGTACTTTCATGTCTTTATGTCCTTTAAAAGAAAAAAAATCATTTCCATATCAAAACAAGCAGCCAGTAACTTATTCCCAAGTCTGTGATTAAAAATATCGATCAGCCATCAAATAAATTGATTAAGTCATTTCAGACTTTAATGAAAAAAGATTGGTATATGCAAGATAAGTTTGTTTTGAAATGTTAGGAGTACTGATATCCTGTCTATATAGAAGACAGGAAGTGACCGTCTGGAATGGTCTATTAACATTGGAATAATTAAATTACCATGATTAGTCGCTTTTAATCTTCAACCAGATCCACATACAATTTAATTTCTGGCCTAAATTCAATAAATGTTTAGATCTACTGAAACCATTCCTTTCGGGTATTATGTAAATTGGTGAAGTCATTGGAAAGACTAGGTGAAGGGTAGGCCTACCTGACTATTTTGGCCTGTTTATGTAGGAGCAGGCAATAGGTCAATAGGTGTTGATGTGACTATTTTGCTGGCTAAAAAACTGAACAGACTAGGCCAACATGTACGTATGCTACATTACAATTCTTTAAATCAATAGACCCTACCACTCGTTTTTTTTAAATGGACTTCAGTATTGAAATAAAGGCTGATGGTATCTTGGACTTACTCATGCTCTTGTCATGACAAGAATTGCATTTCAATTAAAAACATTTACATCATGATTCCTTAGTTGCTATTTAAAAAGCACACCACCTTATTCAAAGCCAGAAAAAACGATCCCTTTCTATATGGCTATGTCCTTTCATGTCATGTCCATTTTGTCATTGTTTGGGCTTTGACAAAGTTTAATATACATTTACCTGTTGTGTGGATAATTTAACAATGAATGTACTGCTTTTGGTATCAATAGGTTGGGCTGAAAATACATCAATAAAAATATAAGACCAAGTATTTGCCAAGAAAAATCGTAATTTATGTTTTGTCAGATAGAATGGGGTTTTAGTCAAAGGGAGATAACAAGTGTTGGAGGTTTTCATTGGAATAAATTGAAGGAAGAAAAGGACGTCCTTGTCAGGGGCAAGTAACTCCTGTATTTATGTTTTCTTGTGAAAAAAAATAACAGTTTTTCCATGGAAAACGACCCAGAAGAGAAACCAAATACTCATTTGGTGAAATATTATCGTGTAGTAAATGTCAGTGATACAACTATTGAAGTGGAATCGATTCAGTGAGTAAATTTATTATGTTTAAAAGTCCAAACATTCTACCGACATGGCTGTGTCATTTTGACCCTGACCCTGAACATGGCGTTCTTGCCTGTCTGTACGTAATGTCAAGCACAAAGAGCCGACACAGAAAAATTATCTTTGCACTGGGTAGAATTAGATTTGAAAAACAAGTTTGTAAATGGTTGATATGAAACTGAGATGTTTCATGCCATTACAAACCCACAAATTAAAATATAACATTTGTATGTTCAATTATACAACTTTTTCAAAATTAGCCTAAAAACTTTGAATAGGGGAATGCTGCATAGCATTAATAGGTCTACTGTGAAAACAGAAAGGCTGAAAA